CCCCAAAACCCCAAAACCCCAAAACCCCAAAACCCCAAAGCATTTAAGTATTATTGATTATCAAGAAGTTAATCTAATATCACACTGTTCAATCTGACAAGCTTAGACACTGAGGTAGAAGCCTCAGAGATTCCTAGTTTACTTGGATCAGATATCATTATTCCCAATGGGGCTGGCGTATGGTATTTTCATAACTATATTTTCCTACTATTTAGAAATGTAGGCCAATTAAGATCAACAATCTGTCTTAATATAGTCTTTACCCGACCTTTTAGTCACTGTTAGGTTAAAGAAGTCCTCACCAACGGTTGGATGAATGCCGATTGTATTATCAATATCTTTCTTTGTGATTCCTAACTTCATAGCAAGGCCAAAGCCGTTGATTACTTCTCCAGCGCTAGGGCCAAGGTAGTGAATTCCGATAACCTTTTCGGTTTCATTTCTTTCAACTATCAATTTCATATAAGCTGTTCTAGAGTTTTCTGAATAGATAGATGCTTCTAATGGAGTCACTTCTCTATGGTATATTTCAATGTTATCTTCTCCATATTTTTCAATGGCTTCTTCTTCGTTTAGACCAACATAAGAATATTCAACATTAGAGAAGACTGTTGTTGCAATATTGCTATAATCCATTGAATACTTTTTAAGAATCTCTTTTTCAGTGAGCTCTCCTTTATTTCTATGATAGATTCTATGAGCCAGTAATGTTCCACTCTTTTGAGCTACTGGCATTAATTCTGGAACTCCTTCTAAGATATCACCAAGAGCGTAGATTTGATCAACACAAGTTCTCTCTGGCTCTTCGACTCTCCCCTCAACTTTAAAGCTTCTTGGATTAATCTTCACTCCACTATTTTCAACAACATGAGTGTTTGGGTCTCTTCCAATAGCCAACAGAATAGAATTAACTTTTGCTTTCTTAGGCTCTCCATCAATAAGAAGGTCAACAAGGTACTGGTCTTCATCCTCTTTAGTAATATTAGTGATAGTGGTCTTTCCAAAAGCTTTAAGGTTGCCTCCAACCATGTTCTCCAAGATCTTCCCAGCAATAGTTTGGTCAAAGACCCTTAAGAATGAAGATCTATTGATCATTATAACATCATTTCCGAGTTCTTTCAAGAATCCTGCACATTCAAGTGCTAGAGTGATTATTTAAAATTGCTTACCAATATATCCTCCTCCAACGACAAGGGTTTTTCCAGGACTCTTATCAAGTGCAAATAAATCATCAGACGTAATTCATTCGTCTTCGAACTTAAAGTCAGCTCCCTCAATATTGGGCAAATATCTTGGTCTCCCTCCAGTAGCAATTATGATATTCTTTGCCTTCAATTCGTACTGAGTGTCATCGAAATCGAACACTACATTTTGTGATTCGTTAATAGAGGCTTTAGCTTCGATGTAATCAACACCTATTTCCTTCATTTTGGAGACATAGCTGAAATTGATTCCCTTGATGTGATTCTGAACATTTGTTCTAAGAGTTTCCCACTTGATCTTATCATCTTTGAGTTCTACATCCCATCCGTAATCGTGAGCCATATGTATAGATTCTTTAATTAGTCCAGCATTGTGGAATAATTTCTTAGGTACGCAACCAACATTCACACAAGTTCCTCCAAGGCCCCATTTATATCCTAACTTTGGGGTAGGATTTACATGGTTGAACATGACAACAGAGAGTCCTAGTTCTCTTGCTTCCTGCACAAAGCTGAGACCTCCAGTACCTCCCCCAATCACTACAGCATCGTATTCTCTCTTGGGATCAAACGGTAACTTCTTCTTGATTGAACCCAAGTTTAAAGAAAGCCCTTTCAGATTTGGTAGGGATCCTGAATTCTTCGCCATGAAGAACTTTTTCATCCCTGGGGATACGATCAAATCTGGGTTGAAAAATGACCCAAAAATTGCCCTCTCTGCTTGCAAAGTGAACATTTATAAGGTTATAATTTATTTTATAGCCATGATCCTAGTTAGGGGTTTTGGGGTTTTGGGGTTTTGGGGTTTTGGGG